TGCCCAAGGCTGAGGAGCATGAGGAAGGTTCTGGTCTTATAACTTAAGATCAATACAGGACGTGAGGGCCAGTCCAACAGAGAGTGGATGTCATGAGCTCAGCTCTTGCTTTTAACTACTTTTAAGTCTTAGGAGAATTTTTTTCTCAATTTTTAGTCACTTCCTCACCAATGCTGAATTTTATATGAAGAAAATTCCCAAAACTCACTGGAAGTTTTTAGAGCAGAACAAAGTACAGGTTTCACACTTTTAAGGAAAATGTTCAGACTTTGGTCGTAGCCGAATAACTTCAAAATGGATTCATTTTTAAAACCCAGCAGAAGAGGGGCGCCTGGGTAGCTCAGTGGGTTAAGCCGCTGCCTTCGGCTCAGGTCATGATCTCAGGGTCCTGGGATCAAGTCCCGCATCGGGCTCTCTGCTCAGCCAAGAGCCTGCTTCTCTCTCTCTTTCTCTCTCTGTCTGCCTCTCTGCCTACTTGTGATCTCTGTCAAATAAATAAATAAAATATTAAAAAATATAAATAAATAAAACCCAGCAGAAGAGAAATAGGTGAAGGAAATGCATATTTTAGACTATTTGTTTTAACACAGTTCAAAATCCAATGAGCAACAGGGGAACTCTGAACCACCAGGAAAGGCTCTCTGGCTGGTCTACCATCATCCGTGAGAATAATAAGGACTTAGAAGCAGGGGAGGGCATTTTAATTCCTTCTTGCAAGGGCAGGATTGTCATGTGACCTCCATGCTCTTGGATGTGTTAATGGTTCCCTTTGCTTTTCCTCTAAATCTGTCTCTTACTTCTGGAAGACACTGTGAAGGAGGGGAAACAAGATGGTCTGAAAGCACCTGGCTTCAGGCCTCGGGTGACCCTGCCCATGGGCCTTCATCTCTCTATTCTTCCACTTCGCTGTTAGATGGCATTACCAACAAACCCAATCATCTCACCTCCCCAGCATGACAGCAGGCAAAATTCAGACGAATGATGGTTTAAGACAGTTTTGACCAGGCATAAAGTGCTGAGATATTATAAATGCCTATTCACTCCTTTGATTGACTGACTGATTTTTTAAATCAGTGGAGCCACTCCAAGAATCAGGATTCAAGAATACGTGTTCATGGAAAGCCATGTTGGAGGAACGCTTGGGGTGTCAGAACCATCTCGATGTTTTATTAAAACTAAGCCATAATGGGTTTGTAGCCATTTCAAAAGGATTAACTTAAGTTAGAAGTGCCCATTCAGAAAGGAAGTGGAGGAGAAAAGGCCTACCTAAGTCGGAGATTCTATAAAGAGCATAGTCTGTAAGGCAGCCCCTGAGTCAAGGTCTGAGAAATTATTGTTGTATTAGTCCTCCAATATTCATGTAACAGAAAATCAGAAAAATCAAGATTAAAAGACAGAGTGTGGAGAGATGCTGATAAGCCTGAATATGTTATGGGGCTGCCTCCACGTGTGTTCCAGCTTTTAGAGGTGCCGAAGTAGTAACATAGGCACGGAAGTATTACAGGGGCACAGTGGGCTCCAGGCTAATGTGTTATCGCAGGGAACATAGCACAGCAAAGGGAATGGGAAAATAACACAGCAAAGGGAATGGGCAAATCGATCCATCTCGAAGATCCTGATCAAAGATCCTGATCAGTCTCACTCTATCTAATGATTTATGTTCCTCCCTGGAGAAAAAAAAAATTAAGAAATTCCTTTCCCAAACCCTAGAAAGGTTGAGAATCTAGAAAGACAAAAGCAGATCTACATAAAAACCTTGACGAGTAATACATAAAAGTTTTAGAGGTATGAAAAGCAAAAGCAATCATCCAAAGTCCTTCAGACGGTTTTGCCTGAGGCCTGCGGTGCATTTTCCAGAGTTCTCTGGGACAGGAAAGGCGGCCATTGGCTGCCATGCCCAGGTGTTTCTCACAAGCATACACCATGGCAGGTACCACAACAAGGTCTGCTTTGGGTTCAAGTGATGACCATCAGATTTCAAAACCAAGAACAAAAGGTTTCAAGAGTTTGTTTCAGTTTTGTCTCACCCAAACCAGAAAATCTGGGGACGGTGGAATTCTCTACAGTTCTGAATTTCCTTAACGTGTTAAGGAAATGGAAAGGCCATGGCATTTTCATCTATCAGTTCAAGTGAAGAAAAAAAGAAAGTGACTACAACCCAACATTAAAAAATACTTTTGACGAAAAATGAAACAAGATGGGATTGGGATGGGAGGGAGACAAACCATAAGAGACTTTTTTTTTTTAAAAGATTTTATTTATTTGACAGACAGAGATCACAAGTAGGCAGAGAGGCAGGCAGAGAGAGAGGGGAAGGGAAGCAGGCTCGCTGCTAAGCAGAGAGCCCGATGTGGGGCTCGATCCCAGGACCCTGGGACCATGACCCGGGCCGAAGGCAGAGGCTTTAACCCACTGAGCCACTCAGGCGCCCCCATAAGAGACTCTTAATCTCACAAAACAAACTGAGGGTTGCTAGGGGGAGGGGGGAGGGAGAGGGTGCTGGGGTTATGGACATTGGGGAGAGTATGTGCTATGGTGAGTGCTGTGAAGTGTGTAAGCCTGATGATTCATAGACGTGTACCCCTGGGGCGATTAATACATTATATGTTAATAAAAAAAATACTTTTGACAGTGTTCCCTAATTACCAACAGTGATGGCTGTGGTCAACATGGACGAAGTAATTAACGGGCAGCATTGTTCTTACTATGCTGAAGATCACCTAAAATATTACCAAAAGGCTTGACTTAAGGTCTGAGAAAAGAGCACCACGAAACGACTTTTACCTCAGAGAATTACAAGGGAGGCTTTGAAAATATTCACAAGGGACGTGGGAGTCCTAATAAAAAAGATAACAGATGATCTTAATTTGTGGCACAAAGAACCACCAAAGAATCAATGAAACTGGCAAAATATTTTTAGATGCACATAATGCCTATATATTGAATGGCAAATTACTGTGGAGACTTTAGTTATGATACCTGATCATCAAAACAATGTCATCTTTATCTAGTTAATATACAATACTTTTATACAAAAACCAGATATCCACGAGCAACGTTTGGTGAAAGGTGGGATAATCTGTGATGTCCAGATAACTGAAGGTATGGGTTGATGTGGTAGAATTAGATGAAGGGCTACCCAGGGAACTCACTTCCTTTTCTGTTTTGTAAATTTTAAAGTAAATTAATGAGCGCTGATTCACAATATATATGTCTTTCTAGATATAATGTACTTGTTCTGTATAAAATGTGTTATCAACAAACACTTCTGTTTCTCCAGCTATAATGTAAACAGTGACATACGAAATAAAACTATGTGTTCTTTTGAAAAACGTCTTAAATTTTACTTTACTGGACAGCAAACTAAAGCAGAGAGATCATGACGTATCTAAGGCCTCCCTTTCGCCTGACTCTCTATTCTAACAAAAGGATCTATCTCTTAGGAGGTCCTTCTGGGCAAAGCTAATTTTAGGATTCATTTTTGAAATGAAACCTCTTTAGATACTCTGGTACCTAGCACATAGTAGAAAAGCCCTCAAAACATTCTGTATCTTGATTCAACTTCCGAAGATAGCAGAAACGTCTTATTCTGTTCCCCAGATACGCAGGATATTCAAAACACTACATTCAAGAATGAGGAACAACAAATGAACACGGGAATAAAGACAGAAATACATACAGATAGACCATAGCTCAAATTCTTATGGTAACTGCTTAACTTAGATTTTGGTAACTGATTGCTACAGATTTTAGCTTGTAGGCAGGCAGTTTACATTATAACTATAGAGGACAAATGGCTGATAAAACACTCTTATAAAGTTCTCTGACTCAAAAGCCCATATACCTGCACCCCTAGAAGGATTCTGACATGAATGAATAGGTAACTTGCTTCTACGCAGGGTATCGCTTCCCGGACTCTTTATCAACCCTGCATACAAAAGAAATTGCAAATGTATTTTGATAGAGATATTAATACTTGCAGAAAACAGAAAATATTTAAAAGGCCTGGAAACCAGAATTCTTCTGTATCAAAAAATGTGTAGAATTAAAAGTACATTTGAATATGCCCGATTATATTTTAATGAGCTGTTGGAGATCGCTCATTTCCTTCTCCTGTTTTCTATCCTATTAAGACGGATATTTAATACATACCATTGGCATGTCTGTGTGCAATTTCTGCCTCTAACAGGTTATCAGGGATCTTTCTATTCCTCCAACAGACACAAGCTGAATTTCAGCTCAAAGCGAGTTTTCTGTGCCCCTGTGTTATCCTCCATAGTCAACTCTGACTCATCATCAAGACTCTACCATCCTCAAAATCCGTATTTATACCTGCTAGGTTTTCAGGTAATGGGGAGAAGACGACAGTATTGAATCTGTTCTCCAGACAGGCCTATCAAGGATAATTTTTTCAATCATTCGCTGTTCAGGAGAGACAAAATGATGCCACAGCCTATGGGATTCTGTAAGAGCAGAACGGCCACGTCACCAAGACACTTCTTGGCTCCACAATGAACTGATCTAGAGCCCAGCTGCAAAGTCACTCACATTTGCCAAGAGAGGTTTTGAGTACTCTTTGGGGCCCACCCAACACACAAGCAATGATTTAAACAAAATGAAAACAAAACAAAACAGGCTGACTCACTCCAACACTCCGAGCTCCATCCTGTAGGAAGAGGGCTAGAAAATGACGTGAGGGTTAGCCTAGGGATTTCTATGTTATTTTCATTTTCAGAGTGTCTACACGGTGGTAAGAGTATCAAATAGGGTCTAATTAAATCTCAACACACAGACCTGCTCATACCACTGACAAAAGAGTTTACTGTTCTGATTATACCATGTGCTACCACAGGGTTATCTTTACTACGGAAAAAAGTCCCCAGCTCAGTAGTCAAAAAGCAATGAAATCAGTTTACCCCATGTTCCACACCCTACATCCTCTTATTTATTGGTGTCAGATATTGAAATGAGAATCCAATGCCTGTCCAAAGAGCACTCACCTCATTGTCCGACTCCACGAGAACTTGGTCATATTCACTAAGCGCTACTAGAAACATGATAGAGGTGACATTTTCAAAGCAGTGTATCCATTTTCTTCTCTCTGACCTTTGGCCCCCTACATCGACCATTCTGCAAGGTTAACAATATTCATATTAATAGCATATAAAGAAAAAAGGATCAATATACACACAGCTTTACTTACACACTTAAGGAAAATACTCTCTAAAGAGAATGGCCATCCAACTCAATTCAATTAATATTTCTGGTGAACACCTACTAACTTTCTGTTCCCTAACAATCTAAGTCAAGACATTCTGGGTAATTAATAATTGTGGTTATAAGAATGTTATCTGATTAGTGAAAATGGTAACTTTGTAAAAAAAAAAAAAAAAATCCTGTGCCAGGTCAAGCAAAATGGTATTTTACTTCATTGTGTACAGAAAAATCAGAAACAAAATATGCTTTATTTGTGGTAAGTTCTAATGGCAAGTACTAACGTCAGTTTCTTTTTCTGTAAAATGAGAATGAAGATCCTTGTGTATTTCTCAAGGATGCTAGAAAGGACTGCAAACACATTTAAAAGATACAAGATGCTACATATTTCAATATGGGTACGTGTGATGCTTCAGCAAAATGCAAGAAGAACTCTGCTGATACGTTATCCATGGGGTATTGTGACTTGTTTTCTCCTTCCGATACTGGCAATAATCTGGGACAGGTCCAGTCACTGGACCAGTATCATGGTGCAATTGGCCTCATGCAAACAAACTTTCTAACCTGCTAAGAAGCAAAGTGTGTGAAACATCAAGATGCTTCCAGAGGCCATCACTTGAACTCTTTCAAGGATTTGTTTTTAACATGTCAACGATGTGCTGACTTCTTGGTTAGGAACCAATGCTGACATCAATTAATGTGAGTTTCAATGTTTATATGAAAATATCAAGCTGCAGCTGGCACTGAAGCCAAGTTTCCTCAAAAGGTTCAATCCATATCTTGGCTAAAACGTCCACAGTGGTTGTGGGGTAAAATACTTTCAGAGAATGAGAGGAGGTCTCTCTGAGCATTTGCTGAAAACTGAAGTTATTCCTGGTCTTTCCCTGCCTTAAATGCAAACTAAGAAATCAAGGATCTTCTAGTTTTTAGTGACTGCTTCTAAAAGTTCTTTAAAGCACAGAGGAGACTTCTAAGGGGCAAAGCAACAGATTCAGGGAGACCTACGAATGATGGACATCAAAACTAGAACTCTTAAGTCTTTAGAAATATCAAATTCTAGTTCTTCCTTCATGCCAAGTAAAGAATTCATTACTCATTTATATGAAATCCTCATTCTATAAAATCCTGTCACCCTGAGCCCTATAAGATGCTTTCTATGATGGCAGGAAATTATTCTTCTGAGTCATTACTTTTACAGTAGTGGCAAAAAAGTGTCCTTTAAGCTAGTGAGCAAAATGTAGTAAAAACAAGATATAAGAGTAACCTTATTTCAGAATTCACTATCAATTGTAAAACAATGAAGTGATGAAAATCTCTATGAAATGCTCTATGTCTTCTGAAAATACTCTGCAGGACAGTTTTATAAGCAGTAGGAAATTTGGGTGTTCCAAATTGAAGATCTCCAAATGCTATGGACTCAAAGCTTATGTAATCCAGCATGCTGGAGCTACAAGGAACCTTGGTGATCATCTAATGCAAACATTTTAGAGATGGACAAAAAATGAGGTTCAGAAATATTTCTAAAATGCCACCCGCTTTCCAGATATATCCATTAGAGTGGCATATGGCGGCCAGACCTGACTCCAGGGGTGGAGACTGATTAGAATAAATCCCAGAGTGCTTTGAGGGCCTGCTCATCTGAACCACGTGGCAGTTACCCACTGGGAGTCACATGACTCCTATTTCAAATCCCTCTAGTGAACATAATTGTCTTCAATGGGATAGGCTCCCCCAGAGAACTCAACTCTCTATGCTCAAAGACATATATTCACATGGCCTCACTTCTCAAAGCACAATGTGGTTTGTATTCTAGAAGTATAACTGAGTGTTTGTATAGTAAGAGATCAAATGAAAGCATATTGGTATTATTTATTTTTTCTCTTCTTAAAAAACATTAAAATACTTTTGAACAGCAGCAGAATTCTTCATTCTATTTTCCTATATAAATTTGGACTGGGATCATCAATCCATTTTCAAAATTACCTATTTTGAAATATTTCAAGGAAGTTATTTCAGGAATATAAAACATCTCACATCTTTCTTGTTACTGAAGAATTCTGCATTGGTACCAGTAGACTCGAAGGAGTCTACTTTTGTCAAAAGCTTTTGACAACATATATTTTCTGTTTCTTAGTAGGGGCATAAGGTCATTCATATCTTACACAAATCTAAAGATATATCCATTGTCCTCGCAATTAAAAAGTTACTCAAAGAATAGTCAGGACCAACGTTTAAGTGACTGATTTTGTTCAACCACCAGCAAATTTCAGATTTCACTGATTTCTTGGTGACTGAATTTGAAATGAGAAACCTGCCCATACATCTTTCCTCTGTTTCCTCTTTCTGGAACATATTACTTCATTTGTGTATCTCATGATAATTGGTCTGCAGATTGTTTCAAAGTCTACACATGATTTCAGTATTTGTAGAGTTCCCCAAATATACCAGTCAAGGCACAGGAGCTGGGAGGTGGGTTTAACGGACTCAGTTACTACCTGAAAATGACACTTTGTAAGTCAAAGGGGTATTCGATGATCCCTGTGGTGGGGACTCGAACTCTAAGCACATCTTGCTGCGTAGGCAGGTAGGCGGGGTCAGCAACGCGGTCCAAGTCATTAAGATAGCTGGAGGAGGGAAAACACAACGAGAATGTTAGGACACCATCATGCCAAATCTGCCTCTGGAAATGGAAGGGCAAAACTAAATCCTAAAAGAGAGGTGGTGAAGAGGAAGGGAAATATCAGAAAGGGGTAGAGCAATCTGGAAAGTTGAGAGATAAAGTCAACTTTTCACTGGCCACAGCAAGGTAACCCATCTATGGATTGCCTGGTTCACAGGCTTTCTCGTTTCTTCTCTATCATTTGGAACCCATATACAAAGTAGAAGGGGAAAGGAAAAGAAATGAAAGGAGTCTTCTATTTTCTGCTTATTTAGCAGGTCTGGTGGGTAAAGCCGGAGTTCAAAGCAAACAGATTTTGAATTACGGACAGAACTTTTATTTGTGTATTTGTATAAATAAACAGTTAACAGAGTGATACATAAGGTCAGAATCCTTTTTTTTTTTTTTTTTTTTTTTGGTCTTTTTACAGAATATCAGAGTGTTTTTCTCTGGAATGTATTTCCTTATTCCCCTAAGAGAGGTCAGCAGCATACCATGTCCTAAATTCTGTCCAAAGCTAAGTCATTTGTGATTACTGTGAAGCCACAATTTTTGAGGTTTCTGGTTACTGAGCTAACAATGTCTAAGGTCAGATATTCCCAGTGTTTAGAGTCACCACACCTAAACTTCAAATTTATCTGCTTCTATGATACTTCTCCATTCCTTTAAAAAAACAAACAACAAATCCTTTTCATTTTGAAATAATTTTTTAACTTACAAGAAGTCGCAAAATATTCCAGAGAATTCTCCTGTACCCTTCCCCCAGCCTACCCCGATAATACCTTACATACAACGAGGTATTACCAAAACCAAGAAACTGGCATTGATCCAATACTATTGACTCAAATACAATCTATTTAGATTTCACTAGTTCTTATACACACACACACACACACACACACACACACACACACACACACACACACA